TGAAGGGTTATAAACTCATGGAACTGCCTACCTGCAGAAGCTATAAATGCCAAAACTCTCTTTAACTTTAAAATCCAGCTAGAAAAAATCCTCAGGGCAAATGGACGGGATCTTTGATAAACCGCCAGCTTCCTATCCTCATCGAGGCCACTAGTGTGCTAGTGGCCCTCGGGTAAATTCAGGTAAATAATGATTAAATCGAAGTGGAGCAAAACTAACTGACCTGTTGCCAGTACTCCTTGAACCATGGATTTCTGGTATTTTTTGCAGGGTTGAGGAGTCTATAATGTGCTATGAAGTCCCTCACATCCTGCTGGCCATCCTTCAGCACCAGAGCCCCACCCAGGTCAGAATCAAACTCACGAAGCTAAAATCATTATAATCTGCATTGTAAACATGAAGCTGGATTGTCATAGATTAAGTAAATAGATTTAGAGTAATATAGTTCAACTTTAAAAACCCTACTTAAAAATCAAATACATTTTCTCTGTGACAGTACCTGTATATGGATACTGTACACAGTATTTTATTCACAAATATTATTCATTATAACAAATAGCTTAAAAGTTTTAAATTACAAAACAAGTATTTTTATGAACAAGTACCTTCTCCTTGTGATCCCCCCATGAAGAAGTCCCCAAGAAAACAAGCTGGTGCTTGAGTAACCGGTGGATGAGAACTGCCCGCTTGACGGCAGCGAGTAAGTCTCTCGTGTCGTTCACGGTCAGGAAGAGAACAGTAGCACGTGCACCAACTACTGCCTTCTCTGTCAACTGCTCCACAATCTAATAAAGATATTATTGAGATTATAACAATGTATATGTTGCATAACCAAAAGTAATGAATATTGGTAATTACAATATGCATACAGTATACATTAAGATAAAAAAAATGTTACCTAGTAAAAGTTTCAAATTAATTTAATTTAGGGTAGCAGCACACACTGTGTACTTAATCTTAATTTTTGTTGAGTAAATTTGCTCCCTCTAAAAAAATTTAAATTGGTACCCATAAAACAGCAATAGTTATTATAAAGTGCCACAGCTGAGAAAGGCTAAGAATTAAATTTTATATTAATTACCTTTAATATTCTAAAATAAACATAATAATTTAAGCTGAATTTTACACTTGCTAAAATACAGTACATTCACATTAATCAACACCTGCTATAGCAATATATTATCTCTTGATACTGTACGGTATTCCTCATTCGAACCTTCCCTTGCTGCCAGAGTACCTAGTCTCTCCCAATCCAGAAGCTGAGAGGTAAAAATTATCTACCTCCTCTCTTGTTCTGAGGTCCTTAAGTGCTCCATATGCAGATCTCCGAGCTCTGCAAGTTAGCCGCCTGGTTAGCTCTGTGAGCTAGCCGCCTGGTTAGCTCTGTGAGCTAGCCGCCTGGTTAGCTCTGTGAGCTAGCCGCCTGGTTAGCTCTGTGAGCTAGTCGCCTGGTTAGCTCTGTGAGCTAGCCGCCTGGTTAGCTCTGTGAGCTAGCCGCCTGGTTAGCTCTAGGAGCTAGCCGCCTGGATAGCTCCGAGCTAGCCGCTTGGTTAGCTCTACGAGCTAGCCACCTGGTTAGCTACATGAGCCAGTGAGCAGACCCACCAGAAAGAGATGTTCCATTACATTAAGCACTGGATTTTTTATTTAATTAGAGTACTTCCAATTTTCATCATTTTCGTGCTTAAATACAATCCATTAACCATTTCCTCCACTTTCCCCGTGTCTCCATGCTAAATCTTTCCATTTAATACTTAATACAAACATTTTTCTTAATTACCTGATCAGCAAGAGTGGCCATGGCTGGAGGATCCAAAGGTGTCATTTTAATATCATGAGCTAAACACACTCGCGACGCCTGAGCCACAGTCCTGAAAGCTTCGGCTCCAGCCAAATTCTCTGGATCTTCCGACGACACCACAAGGGACACGTAATCCCAACCAAGAAATCTCAGCATCTGGCGAGGTAATTGGAGTTGTCAAACCAACACAATTTAATCCAAATGCATTCACTGCCGACTGCACCACGATGAGCTCAAAAGTACCTTAACCTTGCTCCATTAAACTTATACACACATGAAATTAAAATTAATTAAAATTATGGCCAAAATGCTTTGCGTATTTGTAGCTTTATATAATATACAACCATCATCGATTATCCATGTTCGAGTCCAGGGAACGATAGAAATGGTTAGGTACATTTCCTTTCACCTAATCCTTGTTCATCTACCAGTAAATAAGTACTGTGCCTGGAAATAAGGTAGCTGTTTGATCATTACCGCCAGGGGCAGCTAGTTTATTGTGCACCCCATACTCAATCAGTGAGCAGTAGCCCAAAAAAGATTACAGGGGGCACAAAAGGTCTTAACCTCAGTAGATATTTTACATTAACAATTTCATCTAATTTGTATACTTATAATGATTGCATCAGCTACTTACAATACAAAAAATTTAAATATAAAGTATTTACAAAGATTATTTTACACTTAGATATGGAGGATATTACAGGATCACAGAAGACCTTCTGCTTATTATTACAAGTCTTCACACTACACAGCATATGCAGATTCTCATAAAGGGAGACAGTAGTTTGACCTTGGGGGAGGACCTCAATAAGCCTCAAGTTGTCTACTTTCGATAATCAGAATTGTATGGGGGCTCACCCCGATTCGAGTTAGCCAAACTTTTACCTGGAAAATCAAAACCGTAAAAATTTTTTTTTAATTTATTTAGGTTTTTCTTTGTCATAAACCAGAATTTTTATTTGAGTTGAGCAGTAAAAAACATGAACCTGAATTCATTCGGATTACCCAAAGATTCAGGTTACCTGAATTTGAATTATGGAGCTCCTACAGTGAGTGAGTGTCTACATGCTTCCTGTCTCTACAAAACAAATTATTATTAAATAAAAATTATTCAACATCATACCACAGTACCTGAACCATTGCTTCTGCCTCCATGTTGATGGGGGCTCATCTGTAACGCAAACGGAGAGTGTGCTTGTGATGGCCCCAGGTTGATGGACGTTATGTTGAGAGAGGACAGAATCTCGCCTGTAACTCGTGCAGTTTCTGGGTCAAGAGCAGTTATGAAGGTCTGGATGTCGTTGATGTCAACATTGATGCCAGGAAGAGAGCTCTTAACAAGGCTTGTCACCTGGTTCATTGTGCGGATCTGTTGTACACAAACATCTAAATAGTAAAAAAGTTACTATGGACCGTAACTATCTTCATTCCTGCACCACGTTCAGTAATATATCCTACCCACTGTTATAATAATTATTTAGTTACTCGATATAAAAAAAAAGTACAGTGCCCCTCTGACTTTAGGTGGGGTTATAGTCGTGTAATTATCTACCTTCGGATAATTCAGAGTCTAACTATAGAGCACAGCATTTAATTAAAGATCTTACAGGAAAAACAGGAGGCTTCTATGACTAAAGATTTTGTACCACAAACATATTACATACCAGTTACTACCTACAGTTAGCAAACTTTAGCTAAAATTTCTGGTAGCAGATCATTTTGAATGAAATATTTACACATTCCTTTAACATTGTTATAGAATTGCCTCTGAAATTGTGATATTTTTGCACTCCATCACAGTGACAAAAGGTGTGCAAATAACTGTAAACTAAATTACTCGCACCCTCTGCCTCTGTCACCATGTGATGGAGTGCGAAAAGATATGTACGTGAATTTAGAGAATTCTATAACAAATGTTCAAGAAATGTGTAAATATTCCATCCAAAATGATCTGCTACCAGAAATTTTAGCCAAATATCCTCAGTTTGCTAACCGTAGGCAGTAACTGGGCGACTATAACCTTTCCACTACTGCCCACTGGATGGGGGGCAGTGTGCAGAATAAACATATCAATTAAGACACTAACTCTCCACATGTTAGTTGCTTAATTAGAGACTGTACTTGTAGTCAGTCTCCAGCCCACTGTTGATGTAATGATGTGCATTGAATTTTGCAACTAGATCAAAACTGTAACTTGCAACTAAATAAATTTAGGGGTTTAGTCCGAGCCCATTATGTGCCTCTAACTCTTTCAACTACCACCCACAATAGCTATGGGGTGCATAATAAATTAACTAAACTAAACTGCAACAGTGCATCCATATTCTGCAAAATTATGTCTTATTAATACATAGTACAACAGTAAAACAATAACTTTCTAATGTCTCTCCATCAACTCATAATATTACATTGTCTTATTTAGTTTCAAGAATTACCTCATTAATAATCTTATATATTGTTTACCTAATTTTATGTTATACCCGAAATACACTGCATATTAGTGGTTTTAGGCACTGAACTATCTTGCTTAGAAATCCCCCTTTGTTCCTGTATCATATGTGTGTACTCTTGCCTAAATAAATATTACTGGATCATTATTATTATTGTCATTATTATTATTATAATTATAATACTTTACTCATCAACTTATTTACAACAAAAATAACAGCAGCTCATTTACCATGTTGGCATGGAATTACATTCTTGCAAAGTTATTAACATGCACAGTAATTAGGGAGTTCTTAAGCAACAAATTATTTGAAATATACTTGAACCTTTTGTAATGATGTATTAGTTACAAGAAGTAAAGTTAAACTAAATGTATTGTACTGTAAATGTACTAGTGGATATATTTTAGTAGCACAAATCTTTCCTATTGACCCAAAGATTTTTTAAACCATTACAAAAACAAAAGTTTTCTAGTTAGCTGATCCCCACCTTCCTCCACAAGGAGTGATACCACACCCCAACACCAAGTACGAACCCTAGATCCACAGGTATCCAGAACCACAGCACCAAGCGTAGTCGCTGGCAACAACTTCTGGTGCCGATTGATCTGGTCCACAGCCCAGAGGAATGCTTCCACTTCTTGCATCGTCTCCTCATTTAAAGTCTCACTACAGTCTGCACCTGCAAGATGTACCACCATCAATATCCTAGAGCCTTCCAATTAAACATACAAATGTTTTCAGTAAATTCAAGGTGACTATTATAATAAAACTTATATCAGTCAACAAATAATCTTCATTATCATATGACAACAAAACTTTAAATATTCATCCTTCCATGGGGACAAAATCCTCGGTGTATTCATCCTTATATTGGAACAAATCCCTTGGTACATTCATCCTCCCATCAGAACAAAAACCTTGGTACATTCATCCTTCCATGGGGACAAAACCCCTTGTTGTATTCATCCTTCCATGGGGATAAAACCCTTGATGCATTCATCCTTCCAGGGAACAAAACCCTTGTATTCATCTTTCCATGGGGACAAAACCCTTGACCATTCATCCTCCATGTGGACAAACTCCTTGCTGTATTCATCCTTCCATGGGGACAGAACCCTTCATGCATTCATCCTCCATGGGAACAAAAAATATTAAGCACTGTAGAAAATGAAGGCACTATGGAAAAGCCCCTGAACTACTGAACAGAAAATTATTAAGGACAAGAAAATGTCTTACCATCAAGAGAAGGCTGATGAATGGGAAGAGTGCAGCAACAACTATGTGGTCTGGGGATGGCAGCAATACATGTTTCTGCACAACACCTCCCAGTGTCACATTTCCCACCTATTTAAAGCAGTGGGTTAAGATATGAAGTTATTTTATACCAATATTTTAACTGCAATATTTTATAGACAAATATATATAACTTATAGACCAATATCAATCTACTACAAACATAGTGACAGGCATAAACAAAATTGATAAAAAATTCTTTGAAATCTGCATCTTCAAGAACAAGAGATCATACTCAAATTACAGAAAAAAAAGCTGCCAAAAAAGCATTAGAAAGTTCTATTTTGAAAACAGAGTGGTAGATGGTTGCAATAAGTTAAGCGAGTTGGTGGATGATAAAACTGTCAAGTTTCAAAGCTTCATATGACAGTCCTGGTTAGATAGGACACCAGGAGCATAGCTCTCACCCTGTATCTACACTGGGCCCAAACAAACACTGCAGGTGACCTGCATATATATACACCAGTTCCTATTTATTTTTATAAATGAAGATAGTTATTAAATTATGATAACATCAGATTCCCCTGAACCTTGAATAGAAGTTGCAATCTCAAGTGTTAAATACTTCAACAAATTATAACCAGATAGATTGTACAACTATGATATCAAACCTAGTCACACAAAGACCCTCCACAAGCTTGACTGAAAGTAAAGACCCAGGACAGCCAAAATACACAGATCAGTGTTTTTTATGATATTAAAACTAAAAACCCCACATCAACGGGGGGTTTAATTCATTACAATGAAGCACAAAGCTCTGGGCTGACTAACAAGCATTCATTCTTAATAGCTCCAGTAAGAGATGGTCTCACCCACGGACACGCCCAACCTGAGGTTGTGATAGAATCAGCACCTGCTATTGAGAGTTTTGTGTAATATCACTGAATAGGTCAGATTTATATTTGACTAACTTAATGTAGAGCAGTCACTGAAACAAAATAATAATAATGCACAGTTTCTGTGGCATTAAATTAAAATTAAAATTGGCCTATACAAAGAATGACTTACCTCTGCCCAAAACTCATGGAACCAAGGGTAGGCTGTGTGGTTGGCAAGTGAAAGACCCTTGAAATAAGTCTGGAATTCTTGTACAGTGCCACTAAAAGGTTGTAAGACGACCATACCAAGCGCTTCACTCCTGGAAGGAGAGCTCAGATTTGACAAGGTAAACGTTTGCCTGACTTGCCTGTATCTTGACATTATTAGTAACTTTTAAACAAAAATATTATACAAATGTTGTGAACATTATCGTACCTATGTAATACAGTATTTTTTTATACCGGCATTATAATTATTTATAATGTACTGTATACAAAATTTTACTTGGGCTATTAAATGTATTAATAGTTATTTTTATCAAAGTCATAACACATGAACAAAATACACTACAGTATAATTTATTTGGAGATAGGAAACTGAAATAATCAGATCTCATTATAAAAGTTTCAAATGTTTCAAAAAGTTTCCCCATCTTTGTAACACAGAGTAGACACGTGGTACAGAGTGCACCTATTGTCTCTGTAGCATGTCAGTGTATTTTTACCCAAGAATGTTTAGAATGAACATATTGTGTTTCTTTTAATGAATGAAATCAAATGTAGAAAAGCCTAAGGTTAAAAAAAAAAGTCAAGCACAAATATAACTGCAGAACCTTAATGGAAGTAATATTATAGCTAATATTAGAATGCAACCTTCTGCTCAATGGGGAGAAACTAAGTTTATCATAAATTAACAGAACCTTATGATGTGCAAATGTTGGTTATCAATGTGTGTCCACCAGTTGTACGAGTATCTCCCCACTCTCGCAGACCGGCTATATTGTATAAGGAATGGTTACCGTCTGTGTCACTTAAGAACACTGCCAACTCTAATAAAATGTTTAGTAAAGTTCATGAGCTATACACTGTATATTTTATTACAAGACATGTAGACAATAAGTCACAATAACGTAGCTGAATATTAGACACCCAAGCCACAACTCTGGAAATACAGGAAATGACATTTCGGTCCATCCTAGACCATTATCATGGTCCAGGATGGACCGAAATGTCAGTTCCTGTATTCTCTGATCTGTGGGCTAGGCATCTTAATTATAAGACATACTCATGTTTTATGAAGGGCAAAGGAGACTCTGCCATAATGAAGACAAAATCATCAGTGCGCAAGAGCCCTTCATTGCGAAGCTTGGCTGCTGCTTGGAGGAAGAGTGCTGCGTGGTGAGGCTCCAGTAGCAGAATGACAGCCCGGGCACCCTGCTGTGCTGCCTCAGCTAGTTTGGTCCATACATTCATCATGTACTCAATCTGGTCAACCTAGGTAGATAGAAGCAATTTTCAGGAAAAGAAATTCCCTCCATTTACCTAATTCTGTATCTTATAAGGGTGCCTTATAATGACTTCCTTCCCTGTATATGTCTGTCAAAACCTGACAAGGGTCCAGGATGGGCCAAAACACCGTCACTTTCCTTTCTTTCCATGTGGGGGGGGAAAGAAAAGGAGGATGATTTTAATCTTATTTAAAATGCACAAAGCAAGAGATATGTCATATGCAAAATGAAAACAGACATAATAGAGGCAGTGTACATTGAATTCTTTACTAATGCTAGAACTTCAAACTAATGATGTGGAGGGGTTACAATGAAAGCAAAGATTTGTTGTGTCGTAATACAGAGGATGACCCCACTGACAAGTAGGACTGGGAGATAAAGTGGAAACAATGTGCTGCTCAAAATGGCTGTATACTCTTGGACTGGACAGTACAGCAATGTTCTCACTTCTTGCAAGTCGGCGTCCAAGCCCTGACTGTCCCAAGCAGTTGGGCACCATTCTTTCCCTTCATCCTATCCTAAATCCTTATCCTTGCATCCCATCCAAGTGCATGAATTAACCTGCTATTATATGTCTATATAATAAACATTACAAACTTTCTCCATACCGTTGTATCACTTTTGTAGCAGTTGTACGGTACTGGTATTTACCTTGAGAGGTACTGGTTCAGATATAACAGCTTTCAGATTGTGTGCATCTGTTTCCCGCAGGAGATGTTTGTGGATGTCACCAGCCGTGCCGCCATCGGAGTACACGGCGCTGAACACCTCCCACCTCCAGTAGAGCAGGAGTGATGCAATAGCTCCTCCCTGAAAATAACATAAAGGAGTCATTACACATGTTTAAATCAAAAATATTTTTAATAAATGGTTGTATATTTATAATTTAGTTTACACAAAATTTCAGTAGATTATAAACATAAGAGAAAGTCATTATAAAAACATTACATTCATTTTAATGATATTGTATACAGTACGGGTCCCGTATAATCTAGCTTCAGATTTACATATACGTGTACAGTACATATTAACTTGTTATTTCAGCATGTGAAGATTTGAACATTTAAACTACGGTACCTAGATTATACATTAACCAATGAGACAAATGAATGAGAAAGATAACATTTGTATAAGAAATATAAGATACAGTACTCAAAAGTAGCAAAACATTTGTATGGGTCAAGTAACAAACTCAGCTGACTGACAAGTTATCACAGCTCAAATACAACTTTGCTGCACGTACACCTGGCAGGTCAGCTTCTATGAGGTTCTAGTAGATAATGGAAATACTGTAGATGTGATGAAGGTATGAGGTGTGTAGACTAAAATCATAAACACCATCACTATTACCATATAATATACAGCAGTGAAAACTAGATTACGTATTATCAACACTTGACTCCAATGCATAATAATATATTGTATACATATTATAGTTGCAGTGCAAGACGTTTCTGTAAAGAGCTACCTTACCTTACCTTGTGATGGTTCCAAGCACCAACATCCATGGCCTGGTCTCTGACCAAGCCGATAAACTGTAAAAGCTAATGCCAAATATCCACCGAGATCTCAATAAGAACTTTTTCTGCCCTCTCACATGACGAGTATGATGTGCACAATAAACTACTCTTATTGTATGCAGTTAGGAGCTTTATAAAATATACCAAACAATGTATCTACATACTAATTAACCATTGTATTATGATCCCTTGTATATCATATAATTAAAACATTGGTATTAGTTTTATTATTACAACAACATTCACTGCTAACACTTGATACTTACCATAACTTCATTAGGTGGTGCCAAGCGTAAAAGGACAGGAAAGCGGCGCGTGTTGGAGTACACACTGTTGGAAGCCTGGGTTGCAATAGTTGTGATTCCATAAGGTTGGGTCACATCAATTACCTGCCTCACCTCTTCTCCAATACCACCAGCAATCAGGCCAACAATGTTGTTTGAGGATGGTACCTATGGAAGACAATGACATTAGCTATACACACTGAATTGAAGAAAAATTCCTTCTCAAATTTCAGGTTACTCTTGTATTTTTGAGCAACAGTATTTCATTTACTTCAATATAAAGTAGTATGCACTCCAACTCTAAACAGGATCATGAATCAATCGGAGTAACACTCTGGCATTGGCACCACACGGAATTTTCAAGCAGCCCTGCAGGGTAATGCACTTCACGTTGTCGGGACAGGAAATTTGTACTTTGGGTTATTGAGGTTCCCTGAGGGGTCTCTCCATCATGAGCCAAAGACATAGACCACTGTAAAAGACCAGAGATCATCCAGCCAAGAATAACTGACAAACGAAAATGGCACAACAGTTCTAAGCCTTCTCAGGGCCTCTTACTTGCATCTTGTGTATGCACAAGTCCTTGTGTATCCCTGTCAATCTTGGGCCTGATCTATTTGTCCAGCACTTGCTTTATTCACAGTCCACTGCATGTGTTCCAAGGATGTAAGTGCTTAGTGTTGTTTATCGGGTGCAACTAGCCAGTTTCTCACCATGTGTGTTTGGTTGGAGGCAGTTTCTGTACACCCAAAGGAACCCGAGGCTGGTGATATCAACACTGGTTTGGAATTTCACTGTTTTTTTTTTATATATATTTCTTTGACCCTCTGATGATAATGTTAGGCTATTGTTAGCTGTTGTGCTTGTGACTGAACCACCAGGCCATGTGATGACACGGAAGATGGAATAGGAAAGACTGTTCCATGCCTGGGTATAATATGTTTGTTTGTGTACTCTAACCGTCATCCCTTAGGTACAGGTATACCCTGTTTCCCACTTTTGTGGGATGAGGAGGCATACATCCAAAGAATATACAAGTAAGATGAAAATGGTTAAAGATAATACAAAATTACATACATCCATTTACCACAGCTTTCACCCTGGGACAAGCCACAGCTTCGAGATGAGGCTGAAAGAAACGAATCTCTCAAAGCAAGAAAAACAAGGAAAGGGGGGGGGGTAAATAATCATAGCATATAGAATCCTTAAAGAAGTCAACTAGTTAAGTTGAGACAGGTCTGAGATCAGGAAAAGATTATGTCACCTAAGATGATTAAGATGTGGGACCAAGAAGCTTAGCTCAGTCCCTACAAAATATGATAAAACAAGTAATCTAGTTGGACCAGTACCGTTGAGATAAACAAATGCAACTCAATCATAATACGGAACACCAAAGGCAAAATGTAGGCTTGCGAGTATAACCTATTATTCATCCAAATACATCCATGACTCATGCCTACAGTAGCATAAAATACAGAAGATCAACAGAGTATATATTTATTGGATGCTCCCTTTCGTCTTCTCTTTATACTGATGCTGTCTTTATATATTTTAAACTACCCTGCTAGTGGCTAAAGCTGCTTCTTAAAGTAGCATTCCTCTGGACAGCTAGTACTCTAGTACTCTTTATGAATAACACCTTTTAATGGTTTATATTTATTAACAACTCCTTTGTTTATATAATATTCTTCTTCAACCATTGTTAATAGCTAAAACACGTACATATACTATACATACATATTTACACATCTTAACAACTAACCGATTTGTTACAAATATATTTTTAGTACAGTATTGTCAAGTCTTACCTGCTTTCTCATTCTCTCGGGAATACGACCAGTAAGGAAGTTGGTCACATCACGCACAACTTTTTCTTTGCTGGTACATGCATCGAGGATAATAGCACCGAGAGTCACACCGGGCAAGATCTTCGGATCAGAGTTCAGGCGATCTAGAGACCATAATAATGACTCCACAATTTGGATACCCTAACAATGATAAAAAAAGAAAAAAAAATTATAATGGAGTGGTTGAGTGGCTAGTAATATTTTAGGTATCAACAGTAATTACACAAATAACAAATAAAACTGCTGTAGAGGGGATTCTTTGACTAGCAAAACATCTGACTCGTGAACGTGAACACTCAATCTTGGCAATGACTTCCCAAAACCCTGTTTTCAAGCCCAGATTTCCTTTATGACTCTGCTCTGTCATCCTCCATAATATGGGGAAGTGCCACTTTTGCGTCCACACAGTTGTGTTGGCTGCTACACATGTCATGGGTACACATGGCCCATGACAGACCCATGGGCCACGTGTGCCTGTCCTACGTTGCCATAGTCAACAATAGTCTCATGTGCAGCGCAGACCTACTATTTTAGTTGCTTATCAGGGACAATAGTATGAATAATGGCTGATAATGAGAGAAAGTGGGTTAGTTTACTTTAAGTGCTACATCATATGAAATTATCAGCAGAACAGGTTAACAGTCAAAAGCATTTATATACCATGCTCTATTCAAATAAAATATAAATGGTCAAAATAATTAATAAGCTGTAATTTCTATGGCAGTATATGGACTTTCAGCCCATGCTTCCATCTTGCCCTCAACAACACTTTCATAACTGAACTCACAGCTCAAGCATCTCCCTGAGAATTCATTCATTGCCTCAACTTTATCCTCCATCCCAACAACTCTGTCAATACAGTATTCTCACCTTATCTCCATCTAAACCACCGCATTCTAGAGGACGGTCACCTTTTTGGTGTACATTAATGGTGGCAATAATGTACAGTTTGTCTGGGGAATCAATAAAGACATAGTCTGTTTCATGGTGGTGGCACGTGGAGCAGCCACTTGTGCAGGAGGAAGGCAACTGGTCCATGCGGGTAACCGAGCCATTATGATATTCTACCATGGCATTGCCAAGAGTCAGCCCACTGTCAACGTATCTGCCAACCTGAGAACAAAAATGTAATGGGTTAAGACTTACGAAAATACTGAATAAAATGTTTGAGAAAACCTCAACAGATGATCCAACTACTTCAATGGAGATAATGACTGGTGGCTCTATAAAAAATATAAATATGTAAGGCCTATAATGAAAACTAAAATCATACCCTTTGTAATATTTTATATAACTTATATAATAAGCTTTATAAACTTTATATAATTTACAGTATTCTTATTATAAATCCAACAAATACTTCAGACAACACAAAATAAACTTGTCCTCCAGAGCATCTGACAACCTGAAGTAAATCCTACCAGATTACCTAGGCCAACTAGCAAGGGGTACACAATCCCAGATTTATAACACTGTACCACAAAGTAGGTCTCTCTCACAGCCCCAGCACTCCAACCACCACCATCTAAAACCCACAAGCAATCCAGATGGGATGACCCCATTATAGACCGAACATCTCCAGTGTGCCTAGACGCTGTGACAAAGCCATACCACTTTGCTCGCCTCAGATGTAGCAGCTCCCCAAGCTGGTGACTTCTTATTAGCACCTATGTCAACAACTGGCATACATCTCGCACCACAGGCCCTCTGAATTGTAATGGCCCCAATCCACACTGAATGTAGGTGTATTTGCAGTGAGGAAGTGGCTGATAGGTACAATTTACTCTACCAAACAACAGGGGAGAAGGGACTCTCGACAGAGTGAAGTTAATACAGTATCATTAAGAGGAGTATTAATATCTTACCATGGCTGGCTGGATGCCCAGCAGAGAGTGCACCCCACAACCTGATGCCCCGTAACTCTGATGAGACTTAGTTGGCCAGAGGGAAACAGTGAACCCTGGGAAAAATGGTAGGCAGTTGGTGTGGAACTACATATGTGCATCAACCTTGGCTAACACCTACATTGACTTCAGTGTTGCACATCTGGGTGGTGCTGCCACCCACAGGGAATCACTTAAGTCCAGTAAATACAGAGATCTAGATCACCATTAGAATTTTTTTCCAACTGCCTTGGAGACACTGGGTGCCTGAGGTAAAAGTGCTACTAGTTTTTTAAGGATCTGGGTGCTAAGCTAAGTGAAACAACAAAAGACCGTTGAGCTGCCAGCTTCCATTTCCAGTACCTCAGCATGACAATACAGAGGGGAAATGCACATTGCATTCATGGTCCCTGCCTGCCATCTGAGAAGCGGAAGGAACTCTACATTCTGCAACCACTAACTTCGTACCTTGTAGGTAACCAACGTTGTAACTCATTTTATGAAATAAAATTTCAAATACAATAAGATAATTACATATATACAAAGGGGTGGTAGAGAAGGCAGTATGTGAATGCATATGGAAATCCCACAAGGCTCACTTGGGTGCTGCATATGGGTTGTGAAAGTACATATGGTGGTGATAAAGTCCCATGCAAAGCCACTAACATGCATAGCATTTCAAGCAAGTCAGAGCTAACATAGAATTTGTAGTGAATTTTAGAACATAAGAATCAAGGAAACCGCAGAAGGTCTTTTGGCCCATACGAGGCAGCTCCTATTTATATCCATCCAAACTCATATCCACCTATTTATATCCACCCAAACTTTAAATTACAAAGTGAAAGTTAATCTTGAACAAAGCATAAATGCAGTGACAGGTATATAATGACAATTTAGATTCACATAATTACTATACAGTACTACAGTGATAAAAGGTGGTGATAAGAAATTATATTGATGTATTGTAGTTTTATTTCACAGACTCATATAAAGAAAACTTTAGTTCTTAAAGTACAGTACACACACTACTGTAATGTACTTATTACATTTTAGATAAGCAATTCACAATTTTAATCCTGATTACCTTTTCATATTTATACTTGATGGGTTTTTGATCTGGAAAACGCATAAGACTCAAGACCTCCAGTGGGGCATTGCCATGGAAGTTCTCAGTAAACTGAAAATATTCGGAGGGCTTATCCACCCGCGATACCTCTGTGTTGCGTAAAAACTCATTGAGCACAGTTCTTTGCCGCCATCTGTGAGAGCAAATTATTAGCCATTGCTGCGATGTTCAATGTCTGGTCAAAATTATATTCATCAAAGTTGAAACAAGACAAAAAGGAATTTAAGCAGTTTGCTAAACAAAACAAAAAATTTAATTATTTATATCCATGTACAATACATGAATAATCAACAAAACAACAAATCAACACTATGGGAATCATGTATACTGTATATACACACAAGTACAAAATATATATTTTGATTTTGGCACCAATAATATAAACAGAACACTACCATATAGCCTATTCATTACTAAAGCTGTTACTTGAAAATATTCATAATATTTATAGATTTAAATGAAAGGTTGCTTACTTTACATAAATGCATTCTACAATTCTAAACAATGACATCATTGTGCATCTTGAGAACTCGTGCATTAAATTGTGTAACAGTCTTACCCAATGAGTTTCGGGGTTCAGTTCCTGAGCCCATTATGTGGCTCTGAAACCTTTTCCACCACCACCCACAGAATCGGTATGGAATACATAATAACTAAGCCAAACTGAGAACTCACTTGGGCAACCCTGGGCATAATCTTCCATCATGCTGGGGACACAGATGATTTATTAGCTGCGTGAGGGCTGCACCAAACGAAAACATAGCCTGAACAACCCTCGGCGTGGATGGTACAGATGTGTATGGCACAACAGGTAGTGGAATAGCGGTTGACTGACATGTTGATCCTACACATCCAAACTCCTTTAGGACGAGTTATTGTTGAGAGAGAATGTAAATGGTTTTAGCTTGATCGTCATATTACCTGCTTTATGTACACAAAAGTTAAGACTATAAAAGTAAATATGCAAGTGAAAAATTTGTAGATTCACCTGAAATAAATAGTTGCAGTACTGTACTGTATATGGGACGTTTAAATTTACCCGAATTTTACCCGAGGGCCAAAGATTCCAGTTATTCCTGAGGATTTTTTCCAGATGAATTTTAAACTGAAGTAATGTCTTGGCATTTATATATATGCAGGGGGGTAAGCAATTCCATGAATTTATAACCCTATGAGAGAAAAAGCATCTCCTGTTTTTTGTCCTGCAATGTGTTTTGCTGAGCTGAAGTTGTTGCCCCTGGAGTGCATTGCATTGTGGTCTGAATGTGGTCTCTTAGAGTGGTCAGAATTATTTTTTCCAATTTGTTCAATATTTAAAAGGTCTCAGTAAGATCATGTAATTACCCAAGTGTAGTTACAGGATGAGAGTCATGCTCGTGGTGTCCCATCTTCCCAGCACTCTGTCATAGCTTTGAAACTACTGATAGTTTTGTACTCCACCATCTTCTCACCTAACTTGTTCCAACCATCTGCAATGATGATCAAGTTGAAGGGTTATAAACCCATGGAACTGCCTACCTGCAGAAGCTGTAAATGCCAAAACTCTTTAACTTTAAAATCCAGCTAGAAAAAAATCCTCAGGACAAATGGACGGGATCTTTGATAAACCGCCAGCTTCCTATCCTCATCGAGGCCACTAGTGTGCTAGTGGCCCTCGGGTAAATTCAGGTAAATAATGACTAAATCAAAGTGGAGCAAAACTAACTGACCTGTTGCCAGTACTCCTTGAACCATGGATTTCTGGTATTTTTTGCAGGGTTGAGGAGTCTATAATGTGCTATGAAGTCCCTCACATCCTGCTGGCCATCCTTCAGCACCAGAGCCCCACCCAGGTCAGAATCAAACTCACGAAGCTAAAATCATTATAATCTGCATTGTAAACATGAAGCTGGATTGTCATAGATTAAGTAAATAGATTTAGAGTAATATAGTTCAACTTTAAAAACCCTACTTAAAAATCAAATGCATTTTTCTCTGTGACAGTACCTGTATATGGATACTGTACACAATATTTTATTCACAAATATTATTCATTATAACAAATAGCTTAAAAGTTTTAAATTACAAAACAAATATTTTTATGAACAAGTACCTTCTCCTTGTGATCCCCCCATGAAGAAGTCCCCAAGAAAACAAGCTGATGCTTGAGTAACCGGTGGACGAGAACTGCCCGCTTGACAGCAGCGAGTAAGTCCCTCGTGTCGTTCACGGTCAAGAAGAGAACAGTAGCACGTGCACCAACTACTGCCTTCTCTGTCAACTGCTCCACAATCTAATAAAGATATTATTGAGATTATAACAATGTATATGTTGCATAACCAAAAGTATAATGAATATTGGTAATTACAATATTGCATACAGTATACATTAGGATAAAAAAATGTTACCTAGTAAAAGTTTCAAATTAATTTTAATTTAGGGTAGCAGCACACCACTGTGTACTTAATCTTAATAATTTCTGTTGAGTAAATTTGCTCCCTCTAAAAAAATTTAAATTGGTACCCATAAAACAGCAATAGTTATTATAAAGTGCCACAGCTGAGAAAGGCTAAGAATTAAATTTTATATTAATTACCTTTAATATTCTAAAATAAACATAATAATTTAAGCTGAATTTTACACTTGCTAAAATACAGTACATTCACATTAATCAACACCTGCTATAGCAATATATTATCTCTCGATACTGTACAGTATTCCTCATTCAAACCTTCCCTTGCTGCCAGAGTACCTCAAATCTCCCAATTCAGAAGCTGGGAGGCAAAAATTATCTACCTTCTCTCTTGTTCTGAGGTCCTTAAGAGCTCCATATGCAGATCTCTGAGCTCTGCAAGCTAGCCGTCTGTTTAGCTCTGTGAGCTAGCCGCCTGGTTAGCTCTGCGAGCTAGCCGCCTGGTTAGCTCTGTGAACTAGCCGCCTGGTTAGCTCTACGAGCTAGCCACCTGGTTAGCTGCATGAGCCAGTGAGCAGACCCACCAGAAAGAGGTGTTTCATTACATTAAACACTGGATTTTTTATTTAATTAGAGTACTTCCAATTTTCATAATTTTCTTGCTTAAATACAATCCATTAACCATTTCCTCTACTTTCCCCATGTCTCCATGCTAAATCTTTCCATTTAATACTTAATACAAACATTTTTCTTAATTACCTGATCAGCAAGAGTGGCCATGGCTGGAGGATCCAAAGGTGTCATTTTAATATCGTGAGCTAAACACACTCGCGACGCCTGAGCCACAGTCCTGAAAGCTTCGGCTCCAGCCAAATTCTCTGGATCTTCCGACGACACCACAAGGGACACGTAATCCCAACCAAGAAATCTCAGCATCTGGCGAGGTAATTGAAGTAGTCAAACCAACACAATTTAATCCAAATGCACTCACTGCCGACTGCACTACGATGAGCTCAAAAGTACCTTAACCTTGCTCCATTAAACTTATACACACATGAAATTAAAATTAATTAAAATTATGGCCAAAATGCTTTGCGTATTTGTAGCTTTATATAATATACAACCATCATCGATTATCCCATGTTCGAGTCCAGGGAACGATAGAAATGGTTAGGTACATTTCCTTTCACCTAATACCTTTGTTCATCTACCAGTAAATAAGTACTGTGCCTGGAAATAAGGTAGCTGTTTGATCATTACCGCCAGGGGCAGCTAGTTTATTGTGCACCCCATACTCAATCCTGTGAGCAGTAGCCCAAAAACAGATTAGAGGGGGCACAAAAGGTCTTAACCTCAGTAGATATTTTTACATTAACAATTTCATCTAATTTGTATACCTTATAATGATTGCATCAGCTACTTACAATACAAAAAATTTAAATATAAAGTATTTACAAAGATTATTTTACACTTAGATATGGAGGATATTACAGGATCACAGAAGACCTTCTGCTTATTATTACAAGTCTTCACACTACACAGCATATGCAGATTCTCATAAAGGGAGACAGTAGTTTGACCTTGGGGGAGGACCTCAATAAGCCTCAAGTTGTCTACTTTCGATAATCAGAATTGTATGGGGGCTCACCCCGATTCGAGTTAGCAAAATTTTTACCTGGAAAATCAAAACAGTAAAAAATTTTTTTTAATTTATTTAGGTTTTTCTTTGTCATAAACCAGAATTTTTATTTGAGTTGAGCAGTAAAAAACATGAACCTGAATTCATTCGGATTACCCAAAGATTCAGGTTACCTGAATTTGAATTATGGAGCTCCTACAGTGAGTGAGTGTCTACATGCTTCCTGTCTCTACAAAACAAATTATTATTAAATAAAAATGATTATCAACATCATACCACAGTACCTGAACCATTGCTTCTGCCTCCATGTTGATGGGTGGGCTCATCTGTAACGCAAACGGAGAGTGTGCTTGTGATGGCCCCAGGTTGATGGACGTTATGTTGAGAGAGGACAGAATCTCGCCTGTAACTCGTGCAGTTTCTGGGTCAAGAGCAGTTATGAAGGTCTGGATGTCGTTGATGTCAACATTGATGCCAGGAAGAGAGCTCTTAACAAGGCTTGTCACCTGGTTCATTGTGCGGATCTGTTGTACACAAACATCTAAATAGTAAAAAAGTTACTATGGACCGTAACTATTCTTCATTCCTGCACCACGTTCAGTAATATATCCTACCCACTGTTATAATAACTATTTAGTTACTCGATATAAAAAAAAAGTACAGTGCCCCTCTGACTTTAGGTGGGGTTATAGTCGTGTAATTATCTACCTTCGGATAATTCAGAGTCTAACTATAGAGCACAGCATTTAATTAAAGATCTTACAGGAAAAACAGGAGGCCTTCTATGACTAAAGATTTTGTACCACAACATATTACATACCAGTTACTACCTACAGTTAGCAAACTTTAGCTAAAATTTCTGGTAGCAGATCATTTTGAATGAAATATTTACACATTCCTTTAACATTTGTTATAGAATTGCCTCTGAAATTGTGTATATTTTTGCACTCCATCACAGTGACAAAAGGTGTGCGAATAACTGTAAACTAAATTACTCGCCCACCCTCTGCCTCTGTCACCATGTGATGGAGTGCGAAAAGATATGTACGTGAATTTAGAGAATTCTATAACAAATGTTCAAGAAATGTGTAAATATTCCATCCAAAATGATCTGCTACCAGAAATTTTAGCCAAATATCCTCAGTTTGCTAACCGTAGGCAGTAACTGGGCGACTATAACCTTTCCACTACTGCCCACTGGATGGGGGGCAGTGTGCAGAATAAACATATCAATTAAGACACTAACTCTCCACATGTTAGTTGCTTAATTTAGAGACTGTACTTGTAGTCAGTCTCCAGCCCACTGTTGATGTAATGATGTGCATTGAATTTTGCAACTAGATCAAAACTGTAACTTGCAACTAAATAAATTTAGGGGTTTAGTCCGAGCCCATTATGTGCCTCTAACTCTTTCAACTACCACCCACAATAGCTATGGGGTGCATAATAAATTAACTAAACTAAACTGCAACAGTGCATCCATATTCTGCAAAATTATGTCTTATTAATACATAGTACACACAGTAAAACAATAACTTTCTAATGTCTCTCCATCAACTCATAATATTACATTGTCTTATTTAGTTTCAAGAATTACCTCATTAATTAATCTTATATATTGTTTACCTAATTTTTATGTTATACCCGAAATACACTGCATATTAGTGGTTTTAGGCACTGAACTTATCTTGCTTAGAAATCCCCCTTTGTTCCTGTATCATATGTGTGTACTCTTGCCTAAATAAATATTACTGGATCATTATTATTATTGTCATTATTATTATTATAATTATAATACTTTACTCATCAACTTATTTACAACAAAAATAACAGCAGCTCATTTACCATGTTGGCATGGAATTACATTCTTGCAAAGTTATTAACATGCACAGTAATTAGGGAGTTCTTAAGCAACAAATTATTTGAAATATACTTGAACCTTTTGTAATGATGTATTAGTTACAAGAAGTAAAGTTAAACTTAAATGTATTGTACTGTAAATGTACTAGTGGATATATTTTAGTAGCACAAATCTTTCCTATTGACCCAAAGATTTTTTAAACCATTACAAAAACAAAAGTTTTCTAGTTAGCTGATCCCCCACCTTCCTCCACAAGGAGTGATACCACACCCCAACACCAAGTACGAACCCTAGATCCACAGGTATCCAGAACCACAGCACCAAGCGTAGTCGCTGGCAACAACTTCTGGTGCCGATTGATCTGGTCCACAGCCCAGAGGAATGCTTCCACTTCTTGCATCGTCTCCTCATTTAAAGTCTCACTACAGTCTGCACCTGCAAGATGTACCACCATCAATATCCTAGAGCCTTCCAATTAAACATACAAATGTTTTTAGTAAATTCAAGGTTGACTATTATAATAAAACTTATATCAGTCAACAAATAATCTTCATTATCATATGACAACAAAACTTTAAATATTCATCCTTCCATGGGGACAAAATCCTCGGTGTATTCATCCTTATATTGGAACAAATCCCTTGGTACATTCATCCTCCCATCAGAACAAAACCCTTGGTACATTCATCCTTCCATGGGGACAAAACCCCTTGTTGTATTCATCCTTCCATGGGGATAAAACCCTTGATGCATTCATCCTTCCATGGGAACAAAACCCCTTGTATTCATCTTTCCATGGGGACAAAACCCTTGACCATTCATCCTTCCATGTGGACAAAACTCCTTGCTGTATTCATCCTTCCATGGGGACAGAACCCTTCATGCATTCATCCTTCCATGGGAACAAAAAATATTAAGCACTGTAGAAAATGAAGGCACTATGGAAAAGCCCCTGAACTACTGAACAGAAAATTATTAAGGACAAGAAAATGTCTTACCATCAAGAGAAGGCTGATGAATGGGGAAGAGTGCAGCAACAACTATGTGGTCTGGGGATGGCAGCAATACATGTTTCTGCACAACACCTCCCAGTGTCACATTTCCCACCTATTTAAAGCAGTGGGTTAAGATATGAAGTTATTTTATACCAATATTTTAACTGCAATATTTTATAGACAAATATATACCTAACTAGCTCTATTCCTACCTCGTAAAATTCGACATACTCAGCCCCTGCCAGTTTGGCTTCCGGTCCCAAAAGAGCACCAACGATGCAATCATTAGTCTCCTTGACGTTATCTACTCAGCCCTTGACAAAAATGAGTTTCCGATTGGACTCTTCATTGACCTAAGAAAAGCCTTTGATACTGTTAATCACAACTACCTCTTACTTAAACTCCAGCATTATGGAATCCGAGGCCTTGCCCTTGACTACATCCGATCCTATCTTAGTGACAGACACCAATATGTAACCATCAATGATACAACTTCGTCCACTCTACCAATTACCGTTGGAGTGCCACAGGGCAGCATCTTAGGACCTCTTCTATTTCTTATATATATAAACGATCTGCCTAATGTCTCTAATATTCTCAAACCTATACTGTTTGCTGACGATACTACTCTTATCTATTCAAACCTCAACCCACATACACTAAATAATGTTGTGAATAATGAATTAAAAAAAGTCCACTTATGGATGTCAACGAACAAACTAACATTAAACATCGAAAAGACTTACTACATCTTATTTGGAAGCAAATCATCAAATGCAATTCAGCTACAGATAGACAACATTAACATCAGTAATAAAGATGATGGCAAGTTTCTTGGCCTATTCCTAGACAAGAGACTCAACTTCAGCACCCACATTCAACACATAACTAAGAAAGTCTCTAAGACAGTTGGTATACTCTCCAAAATCAGATATTATGTTCCTAACTCTGCTCTCCTCTCACTATATTATGCACTAATTTACCCCTATCTTAATTATGGTATCTGTGCATGGGGGTCTACCACTGCAAACCACCTTAAGCCCATCATCACACAGCAAAAATCTGCTATCAGAATGATAACTAACTCAGCTTTCAGACAACACTCAGCTCCCTTGTTTAAATCCCTAAACTTGCTAAATATTAACTCCCTCCACACATTCTCTTGTGTCAACTACATTTACAAAACCCTGTTCTTAAATGCAAACCATGCTCTGAAACTCTCCCTGGACAGATGTAATAGGACCCATTATCACCACACCAGAAATAAATATCTCTTTGATATCCCCAGGGTCAAACTTAATCTGTGTAAACACTCTATGCAAATTAAGGGACCTAGTTTATGGAACTCACTCCCTAGTGAATTGAAAAACTGTAAAACTTTTGCCTTATTTAAAAGCAAAACCAAAAAGTACCTAACTTCATCTTCTTAGTTTCCTACACTGAGCTTTAAATTTGCTCTGTACCTAGTGTTACCCAATCTCCTAATTTTTATGTAATTTCAAACAACCTTATGATTGTGTTCATTGCTGTCTTCTTTTATGTGCTAGCCATATGCTGTATTGTGACTACCAATTTTTGTCAACTACCATTCAAGCTGTCATTGCAATCAATCTTATATTGTTTCTGCTGTATTATGCCTACCAATTTTTTTGTCAACTACCATTCAAGCTGTCATTGCAATCAATCTTAGCTACCTATGTGCTTTAATATACTGTACCTACAATTTTCTCTCATCTTTTTTTTCATTTCATGTAATCTGTTATCATTTTTTGTCTATAATTTTGCAAGTATTTACCTCCTTAAAATTTTCTTAGATTAAGGACCTGCCCGAAACGCTGCGCGTGCTAGTGGCTTTACAAGACTGTAATTACCATATTTGTATCCTCACATTTTTTATGTACATTCTTGTATATGCATAAATAAAATAAATAAAATAAAATAAAATAAAAAATAACTGGTAAGACTTTGCATGTTGCAGCAAAAAATTGTAGTTCAATCGATACCCCATACTGTTTTCCCCATTGTAGCAGACAGGAAGTCAATTAGCCTTTCATATATTTTATCATCATCATCGAGGTCCCATGAAGCAAATGCCTGACACTCCCCAGAACATGACGAACAACTACCTCCCCAGTACCTATTTACTATCAGATAAACAGAGGCATCGAGCTTAAGAAAGTGTCCCCAAACCTCTCTCCCTCTCTCTGCAGGGAATCAAACTGTGACCAACTGGTTGTGCTAGCTAATGCAACACAGATACACCTAGCTCTAAAAATTGAATATATAATAAAGCTAAATTTGGCATCCTTTGGCTAGTGCAGTAACTATGACAGAGTAGTGAACTTGAAGACTAGTGAACTTAACCACTAACATGATGGTTAAGATGAAACTTGGTATTATACCAAAATAAAAATACAGTACCTTGCAAACTCAAAATTTTTCAGAATATATGTTATACAAGCTGAAAATTGGCAACAAAACACAGTACAAGACTAAAGGTACAGTATTTAGCTTAATATGGTTTTGAATACCAAGACCTACCTCTGTCTGCTCGTTTAGAGTCTTCAGGCAGCTGCTGCAAGAACCTCGTGGACAACTAACTTTATCCGGAATGAGAGATTCATCTGCCACTCGTAGGGTTAAATTCTCCACCAACATAGTCTGTTAGGACAAGAAAATGTTAC